TTTTTTGCTTTTTTCTTCAATTTAATAGTTGGTAAATTTCCTTTTTATTTAATTTCTCTTTATTTTAAACCATTTTAAATTTATTTCTATAATTTTAATTTTTGTTCTTTTTTTTCTAATTTAAATGTATAATTTTTAATTATTCATCTTTTCAATTTCTTTTTTCAAAGGTATACTTTTTTTTATATAATTTCTTTTTTAAATTTAATTTATTTTTATCTATTTATTTTAATTTTTTATAATATTAATTATAGTTTAATGAATGTCTTTTGAATTTTTTTCTTGAATTTTTTATTTTGTGGGTTAATTTGACAAATTGTCAGTGAACTTACTTAAAAATTAAAAAAGGTCACTGAAGTTTAAAATTTGCAAAAAGGGTCACTGAACTCACTATTAGGACTGTTATGATGTTAATTCAAACTTAAAGGATCAAAACACGTGGACATAGAAGCTTGAGGATCAAGTGCAAATTTCTTGCTATTAAGGTCCAAACCCAAACAAAATCTTCACAATTCACTCTCTGAAGAATCCCAGAACAATAATGGCGGAAATTTGGGAGAAATCATACCCTAATTATCCAATAAATTGCTCCAAATCCGTAGGTGAGCTTCCAATCAAGAACCGAGATCCTCGGATCCTCAAATTTCATGTTTTATAGACAAAGACAATGCAGCCTACTTTTGCCTGGCGATAATTATGTAAATGAATCCAAGACGCTGCCTTGTCTACTTTCTTTTGAAGTTTTCATAGTTAGTATAGTTTCTCCTATGTATACCGATATGTTTATTGGTTCTTTTTTTCTTTTTTAATTATTTATAGGGATAATTGTAGCAAAAGCCCAAAACCTTTGAAATATTAGCAGACTTTCTCCAAACATTTAATTTGTTGCAGCCGTCACCCCTATCATTTCCAACCATTGCATGTGAGGCCCTTTTGGATGGTTTCCATCCATTTTTTCATCAGTTGACCCAAAAATTAAGTTTGACCATATTTTGAATCAATTAAAAGGGGAAAAATGGTAAATATCTATTAAAATAACTAAAATAGTTATCAGACCCCTGAATGATAATTGCAACAAGAGGCTTGAAATTTAACAAATTTCTTATGAAGCCCTCGTCTCCAAACTCAATTCTAACACAAGATTCTAACATTTGAAATTTTTTAGGATATAGTATCATATCGACGTCGGATGAGACAAATTCCCAAGAAAGTTACATTGAACTGTAAATTTGGCAACTTTACGACAGTATTGGAGTTGCTCGATGATGAACACGTAGATATTTGATGAGTGCTCCACATTCACGATATTTATACCACTTAATTCGTTATTTTGTCACCCTTGAGAGAGTTTTAGATTGTTTTTATGTGTGTTTTGATGTTGTGATGTAGATTGATGAAATTGAAGAAAATAAGCAAAAGTTGGCAAAATTGGAGAAATTTGCTAAATTGCAAGATATTCAAAGTTAAGGGACTAAAGTGAAAATACTCAAAAGTTGTGCCGAATCTCATGAATGAAGATTTGAGAGTGTTATGGTCAATTGAATGAAGAAAGATATTAAAGAGATCAAATATAATTAAAAAATGATCACACATCAAATTCCAACCGAAAAAGTTTTGCTCCAGATTTTTATTCTCATATTTAAACTCATATTTGACACAGTAAACGACCGAATTGGAGGATTATGTCTGAAGTAAAGTTGTAGCCCTTTGAGTTCTCTTTCTAACGCATCTTGAATCATTTCAATCGGATATCGAAAGAAAAAGTTATGATACAAATACTGAAAGTCGTGCAGTCTATCATTTCGCCGAATCAGGCGCCTGAAAATCAGTAGAAGACGCGGCGCCAAGGCGCCCACTAGGCGCCGCGACCCGAGAAAGAGGAAAATTGGAAATTTAAAAAGATTTTTGACTCGGTCCAACCCTATTCCATCTTAAAATTTGTGGACACTATAAATACCACCATAAAGACCTAATTTTGGAGGTGGGAAGAATGATAGAAAGATACAAAAAAATTGAATCTCCAAACACAAAAACAAGAAGGAATTGAAGAAATCAAGTGAAGAAATGGTGGAAATCATAAAAGAGACTTCGATTAGCACTTCAAAAGAGTCATTTCTTACATTTTCTTTTATGTTTTCCATTATAAATTGTATGGATTTCATGTTCTATTTCATGAGCTAGACAATTTAGCTAGGGTTTGATGTAGCCAACTTGAAATTATGGTTTGATGAATACATGAATTATTTCTTTTGGAATTTCCCACTTATATTTAATTCTGTTATGATTATAAGCTTTCAATTACCTGATCAATAATTGAATGAATAGATGCTAGTCAATTCCGACACTCGAGATAGGGGAATTTATGCGTGATCATAAGATTGACACAACGTAGATTTTATGGGTTTCGAGAGAAAGTATAAAACTTATGAAGCTTACTCCACAAAAGAATCAGGACTTTGATAAATTCTAGACTTTAATTCGAAATAGAGATATTGTGATTGAATGCTAGATTAATTTCTAGACAGGGGGAGAGAAACACAATTGGATTCTTGCTTTTAAATATGGAAAAATTAATTGGAATAATTTGATGTCATTGAATCATAATTGAAAGTTGGTGAAATCATTCCCTAGACTTTCTCATTTTGATAATTTATATTCTCTAATTTTGTCGTGACATTTTACCTTTGATTAATTTAAAACAATCAATCAACCATTCATCAATTGTGTAGATAAAATAGAAGTTATACAATTATAGTACTTTGTGGAAATTAAATTACAATCTCTGTGAGTTCGACATCCTAACTTTCATACTATATTACAAAACTTGACACTGTACACTTGCGGCATAAATTCAAGTTGTAGAAAACGCGTGACAAGTTTTTGGTACCATTGTCGGGGATTTCTTAATTTGATTATTACTAATATTATTACCCATTAGCTTTTATTTTAATTTAGATTTTTAATTTTGTTTTTCTTTATTTTATTTGTATCTTTGATAGTTTCTTGGCTTGTTAATTTTAGTTGTGTATGCTAAGAGTTAGGAATTTAGAATTATTACATGTTGATCTTGAACCAGAACGCACATTCCACTTTCTAAGGGGTAAACAGAGGGACGAGCGTGACACAATGGCAGAACAGGAAGACGGAACAACAAATGAAAATAATCAACAACGGGCTATTCGAGACTATGTTAGACCAGTTGTTAATGACAATTATTCTGGTATTGCACGCCCAACTATTGCTGCAAATAATTTCGAGCTGAAGCCAGGATTGATACACATGGTACAATAGAACCAGTTTGGGGGAGCTCCGATAGAAGACCCAAATACTCATCTTGGTTCATTTCTTGAAATTTGTGATAACATCAAGATGAATGGTGTTACTGAAGACGCCATTAGACTCCGCTTATTTTCGTTTTCCTTGAGATAAAGCCAAAACTTGGTTCCAGTCACTACCATATGG